TATGTCTAACGTACAGTATACAGAAACTCATTAACAACATACTACGCCGCAAAGGATAGTCAACAAAAACAAAAAATGTACACTACCACTTTCTCTATACAAAACACACAAGGACAAGTACACTTGCTTACCTTATTTTGGACCCTTTCAGAAAAAGTCGCACACAATATTCACAAAGCAGGTACTAAAAGTTTCAATTCACATCACAGAATGTCCTCAAAAAAAATGGTTCTGTCCCCCCGAAAAACAAGAAGATCTTCTGAAAAGAAAAGCGGCGTCTATTCTCTAAATTGCCACGACTGCGAAGTCCAAATATATTGGTCACAGGCGAGAACTTTAATAACCAGAATCAAGGAACACATCATCTGGGAACACAACACCTGTAAATCTCACTTTGCCAATCATTTACTCGCAGACAGCCATACATTCAATCCAACCACAGACATTCGTAACTGGACATAGAAAACCACTACACACCAGACTAACTTTAGAAAACCATACGACATTCATTTAATAATAACTTATTAAATGAAACATAAACAATAGTGTCCTTCTCCTTTCCTAAAATTACTACTAGACACCACTCCACATCACACCCTGCCGGGGCGGCAGGTGACACGCACCGCACCCAGTGCCATTGCCTCTCCTCCACCCCACGGGCCGGGTATCTAAGCCCTCCGGGCTCGCCCGACGCCCCGCGTAGTCTTTTGTGGCTTCCATCTAGCAGGTAAGGAAGGCTCACTTCCATTTCTGTTTGCTCGTATAAAAATTTTTTACGTGTCTATTTCTATTTTCAATTCGCTTTTCTTTTAGTATTATGGCTTAACCCCCTCCGCACACCCACTTTTTTCTCCCGTTGTCAAATAATATTTTCCAAAAAATTGTACTTATTTGTAACTTTATCATAATCTGTTGTTAATTCACGTTTAATGTTTTTGTTTTTTGTGGTTTTTCTTCTTGTCACGACAACTGATGAGTGCCTAGCCATACGAAGCTGCTTTGAATTAAAAACATTGTTGGCAATGACATCTTTAATTATTTTAAAAATGCCAAAGATATCCTACCACAACACCTATAATAAACACAACTATAACAAACGTACTTTAATTGGTATTTCTAACTCGTACTTAATCCTATATCAGGCGAGGTTTCCTATTCTGGCGAGGTTTCCATTGCGTGGAGCAAATATTTCATGTGAAACCGTTCCATCTATCCGAGTCCCAAGGTCAATTAATACCTTGACACCACTGCACGAATGTCATTCCTTTAAACAAAATAGTTTTGCTGATGTTCTAGAAAGGCAATTTAATTTATCCTCTAGTGTAGTGTTTAGCTTAGCGTACACTGTACGGCCTCATGTGTAAAAACGCATTGCTATCATTTTTTCCAAAGTGCTTTATTGAAGTGTTTCTTTAAAGGATTTGTTTAGGTTTGAATGGTGTTATTAACAAAAACAATTTCAAAAGACTCCGCGTTAGCACACGTCGCCATTCAAAGTACGCAGTAGACGCTCAAAGATGATTGAAAGTACAGTAAAAAATGTTGAAACGGCCAACTTGACTGTGCCACCAAATCCATTTCTGTCTCTTTTCCTGAAACAGATTGACTTTCCCACAAGACTCGCGTAAATATTTCCTTCCTTAAGCAGTAATTTGTTTTTTAAGTCAGTGGTCGGTAAATGTAAGACTTATTATTCCGACGCATCTTTTGGCGAGTTGGCTCTTTCGATACGGAACGGCTTGGAAGCAATTTCTTGTGGATATTTCTGTTTATTCTCGATCTTACTACATCGGGCCGCAGTGACTGATAAGTGATAACTAAAGTAACTTATCTTGCAGTGCGTTACTTTCTATTTTACTTAAATATAAATTATTACATGCTAGTATTGAACATTTTAGAGTGGGTATTGCTTCTTCAATCTATTTGAGAAACAAGGCGATGAAGGGTTAGGGAACTAGTTACATACGGAGAAAAAAATTAATGGCGCGCAATTCGATTTGCCAGTTCGACCACGTGTTAGACGAGTCTGTAGTCCTTCCTCCAGTTTATGCAGTAAAACAGCGCCGCGCGCAAGGCCGAGCAATCGCACGCTTCGGAACTCGAGGTCTGCGAGACAGGGTTAAATAACTCGTGTCTCGACGCGCGCTACGGTTCTACAACATTGGTGAATAAAAAAAGCTTAATGAGCTGAATTGTGAAGTCACTATCAGGTTCAACTACATTCACTTAAGATGTACTGTTATACTAATATATAAAGACCGAAGTCCGTTAACAGCGCAATAATATCTGAATCTAGTGAACCAATACCGTTGAAACTTGTGTGCTAGCTTTCTTTAAAAGTCTGGTGTACTCTAGGCTATGATTTACAATTACAAACCTTAATATATCCACAAAATAATTACTTTTCTGGACATATTTTTCCTAGCATTACATCACAGATTGAAAAGTGCATCGATGTGCAATTGTTTAGCTGCCCTTCACCAGATGACGACTGAGATCTAAGATTGAGTTCATCTATGCACAGAATTGCATGTCTGTAGAATTGCAAGAGGTTATAATATATTATAACCGCCTTGTATAGGGCTGCTTGTTGACTTTTACTTTCAATTGTCTAATTTGGAATGTTCCTATTTAAGAAAGATAATGACTTTTTTCTTTACTCTATAAATACAAGTAAGTAGGATATTGATTTTAACTGGGTCTATATGTGAATGTATTAAGTGTAGGAGTGACATGAAAATATTTAAAAAATTCTGGATGTTGGTGTAAAATGATGTGAATGCACATATGTATTCTGCGTGAAATAGTTACTAGGTTAGTGGTTAAGCATGACTATTACGTATTTGCGAGTTGAACTAGAGAAATTAAAACATTTGAGGAATTATTTAGAGTTATGCTGAATCTGTGGTAAATGGATGAATTTTTGTAGGGAAGTGAATTATTGTTGTGAACAGTGAGAGCGTATCTTCGGATGATGAAGAAATTATTATTTAAATTCATGATAACAATAAGAAGAATAATTGAAGTAAATGAGAAATTTCAAACATTTCTTTATAAATGCGCGAGAAGAAAAAGTATGTAAAAGAGTTCGTTTTATAATTTGGCAATTGATTGTAAGTATTCGTACAATACATAAATTTCACAAAGAGAATATACGTGAGTAATTGAATTTTATTTTTTGTTTAGATTTGATCATTAATTTAAATATAAAGTGATTGAAATTGGATGGTGGGAATCCCAACAAGAAAAGCTATAAATATTTTTGTTAATGAGAAAGTCCGGAACTAAGTGTATTTCCAGATGGAAGCAAGACGGAGAAGGGTGTAACAGGGCGGGGTGGAGATACAAGAGAATAAATAGAAGTAGGATCCGCCGCAGAGTGAAATTAAATCGAATTCCCCTCTGGGCTAATAAATTATGACAAATACCCAGCAACACAGGAAACTTTCGCTAGTTAGTAATATAAACTAAGATATAGATTTATTACAAAAATCGCATGTCATAGTACAAAGTTTGTTTGTACAAACAAGTAAAGGATATAAAATATAGTAAACATACGACTAACATGGAAGGAAGGATGTCCTTGAAGACATAAGCTCCATTAGTGTCCCACTGTTCACTACAATGCATGATTACTGGAGACATATATTACATCGCGTCTTTTTTGACGCGTACCCTCTAGTACTGTAATATGAAGTTACCATTGTCAATTGAACTCTGATATCTGTGGTGTTGTAACACCACCAGTTGTAGGTATAGGTACACAGTTCCAGATATTTTGTACTTTAATAGTAATTAAAATGTGTGAACTACGAACGCGCATTTTTCTTAATTTGCAAACAAGAGAAGACCGGACGTTCGCTTTCCGTGTTGTCATCACATTCATTAACTCCTTTGTGTCATCATTTATCGAAGAGGTCGAATTGTTCCCGAACCATTAGTGATCGTTTAAACCAATTTTTTTGGTACTTTGAAGTTTATCATGTGTGGCCATTGACCATTAACGCACCGCAAGAGTCTTCCGCTTCTTTCATGGTTTTGTATCAAACAACACAACTTTATCAGGAAGAAGCGATTAATAAAGGTTAATCATTAAACTATACCTGATTGCGGTCTGCGAGGCAAGATGACCGCTTAAAAGAGGGAACACTTTTACACTATCATTGGGAAAATCAATTGGCTCCTCCGAAAGTCCATGAATGCAGGAGTTCGCTTCAGCAGATTTCACTAGTGCCGCGCTCCCTCTCTAGGAGGCCTTGGCTTTAGTGTCCTGCGCCGCCTTCCGGCCGTATGTGCGCTGGTAGAAGTGCGAGAAGAGGAGGATGAGGAAAATGGCCTGCGGCACCAGAACGCGCGGCACCAACATGGGGTAGTTGCAGGGGTTGTGCACCAACAGCTGCGCCAGGTGCGATCCTACCACCGTGTGCTGAACCTGCGGATTGAATGATTCATGTATTAGTGATTCCGGGCGCGACAACTGATAAAGTCATTAGTGTAGCAAGGGGTAGTGCTCATTTTGATGCGAGACGTGGCGGTGGCCTGCTCCTGCTCCTGCTGCTGAGATCCGGCGCCAAGCTACGTCGGCTTACGGGAATTTCCCCATCCATGTATCTCCCACCAGCGGCACCGCCCTCGCCGGGATACGTTCTAAGCTCCCGACTGGTTGAACAGGTTAGTATATGTCTTACATTCTCAGTACGAAGAAAAGAAAATGTTATGTAATGGTGCACTTTTGGACAAAAAACATTGAATTTTCGGTAAAAAACTTTTATTAAAAACCCCTTGTTACGAAAAAGTGAGTAAATCCAGTTGCTAAATTAAGAAAAAAATCCTCTAATGCGTGGTTGATTGATGGATTTTAATTGATGAACTTGTACAGTACATACAAAAAGTGTCGACATGAAATAATCGGTTTCTGGGGGCACCAGAATAAGCTACAGTTATTTAAATGACTTACACTCGAGCTGATATTTGTAGTAAATAGAATAAGAGAAACTTACCAGTTGAAGCTGTGTCACGTACTTCTTCCACCAGATATTATGAGGGTATACTGCCGCAATGAGGTAATAGGTGTACATGCAAGCATGCACAAACGTGTTGAACAAACCCAAAAATGTCCCGTGACCTCCTACAGAAAACAATACAATTAGAGAAAGCGACAGCACATCAAAGCTTAACGTTATATTTAAGAAATTCATTGAGTTCATGGACTGAGCTTTATCAGTCTGGTTTGTTATTGTTTCAGGTGAACATTTTGAAGAAAAATTGAATTATTTTTGACAAATTTGAATATCTCGGTGTATCAAACCTAAAAATATTATGAATATAATATTGTATAATAAACACCACGTAATATCACTAAGAAGTCACACACCAATTTTATTACGAGAAGAAAGAAAAATTAACACAAAAAGGAAGAAAAAAAGCACTCAATTTACACAATTCGACTACGTTTTTATTTCTGAGTTATTTGTTCTTTCTGAACAAATATATTTATTCTGTAGATAAACAATTAACAAGTCTGGAGTGTTTATACCCTTCTGCAAGGCAAATTTGTGCATAGGAAGTATTTTTCACTAACTTTTGAGTGCTTATTGCGGCTCAGACACTGAGAATATCCAAGTGGTTATTAGACCAAATATGCTTCAAATTGTCTTAAGAGCTTATTTTCGATGCTTCGACGTTTCCACCCGGAACATATATTTTACATTATATACTATATATTATATATTATCTATAATGTTATATAATATGTTATATAATATATAATATATAATATATTATATATTATATATTATATATTATATATTATATATTATATATTATATATTATATATTAAATATTATATATTATATATTATATATATTATTCAAATGAATGTGACTCACAACTTATTCTCATTCCAATTAACTAACACCTTATTTACAAAAACATACAAAACAGTAATCTTTTAATATTAGATTCGCGTGGAACGCTAGACTCGCATACAAAAAGTTAATAGAGCAATTGAGAAGAACACAAATGAGACTGTTTGTGAAGTTTTAATCTCTTCAAAACTTAGGGGAGAAAAATATGGAAGTTTTAAGGAAATTTGACGAAGAATCAACGTTGTAAACGATGTTGCGATAGAATGTTTGGAACTAATTGGGAATGATCAGCATTTGTGCTAATGCAAATGTGCTATGTGCTTTTTGTGTATATTAGCAAAAAAGCATAAAGTAGTTGAACTAAAATTTAACTATTAGCAAACTGTATTTGTTAGGCCAATTACAATTTTTAAATTGCTATAAGACTAGTTGGAGTAATCCCGTATGGAGGTAACATACAATGTCATTGGGTGTAGGGAACTTTTGAACGGGAGCAGCATTAGCAGCAACGATTCTTTGGTAAGTCCAATGCCTGATACTGAAAGAACATACCTGAATAAAGCTGGGCATGAAAAAAGTGAAGTATGAAAGAAATTTTCAACACATGAAACTATTTTTAAAACAGTTTACAACGTCGGCGACGCCACATTTTGCTAGTATTCGGTAATTCACAATACATATAAAAGGGTGTATCGCAAAAATAGAATTCAATGACCAATGACTTGGCGAAAAAAGTTAGTTTTCGATGCAAAAATAATATCGACACCACAAAAGCGTATTTCAAGTGGGTTTAGGCTTGCTGCAAAATGCAAACACCCAAAACACCTTTTTTCGCTACCTTTTAGAAAAGACTGAATCAATATTTGTATTATTCAATGCAATTTTTATCAACAGGTTTCCTGAAGAGGTAGTGACCACATTATCCCGCAACACTTTTATGATTAGCAAGCATTACTTTCTGGACTCCGTGTGCGACATTTGTGCAAATGCGGGCAATTTTACATTAAATCCCTAAAAATGAATAATTTTCAAATGACCCTTGCTCCATAAATGTTTATCCCCAGTACTTTTAAATTAGATAAGATTAAAGCTTGAAACGTTTACTTTGAAAGTCTAGCTTGGAACCATTTATGTACTTCACTGCAATCGGCTAAAACTGGGCCACGCGCCATAACTGTTAACGACCCACACTTGCGCGGATCTGCTGTGTCTGATTTATTTGTTCGCTGTTAGCCTGCATTGGAAATATTTGTGAAGATATCAAACGGTCTGGGAAGCTAGTAGACTTTAAAGAACACAATACGGCATTGGCTGCCCATGAGCTATTTTCCCCTGTTTGTTTGAGTGTGTGTAACAAGGCCCATGTCATCGATCTCTCTCGCCCCCCGGGCCCGGGCCCAACGAAGTAGGCACACTCATTAATACATGGAGTCATTAACCAGCGCCAGAAGTTAAAACTGCTCAGTTGCGAAACTACAAAATCAAATTCAATGCTCTACTAAATTTAGCATATTACAAAACCTTTAGTGTCTCCACAAATATTATACAGTAATAGTCAATTACGAAATAAACATTGAATTCAATAGTTTCATTCTGGTGTCACACAACCTTGGACTTTCTTTGCTCGATTCGAATTGCAACGCAACAGCTTTAAAATATTACCTGGAAAATATTTGAGCGCGCACCAACTTACAAGCACCATGTTACTGTGGTGATACACGTGCAGGAAAGAGATTTGGTTGTTTTTCTTGCGAAGAACGAAAAATATGGTGTCCAATAGGTCGGCAACCTTCAACCAGAAGTAAAGATTCACCAGCCGGATCATCTGTAGAGATTTTTAATTTTTAAAAACATTCCATGTTGATACTTAAACATTCTGGATATTTGATTATTTTTTCTGTAACAAGAACTCACAAAATATGTATTCTGATTACACAACATATTATAGAATGTAAGTTACTGCACTTAGGAATGTTCATAAACTCTTTCTTTATCAGGACTCGACAATAAGGGGTTTTTTTGGTCAAAAATTTTCAGTTTTTTGGCGCACGATTCTTTCTCCTCTTACGAATTACTGATTCATATAATTTACTTTGAGTAACGTGAGTATTAATATTTAGTTTACAAACTCTGTTTATTGAATGTAGAAACACTGCAACTCCACGCTCATTAATAGAAGTTTTGAGCAAAAAGCACATTGTTGAACATCCAAAAACAAAATTTTTAGTTATGTACGAGAGTGATACACAAAATCAATTTTATAACAGTATTATTGATTGATTGATTGATTGATTGTTTGTGATTCCCGGTACGTCAACTAACAGGGTCATTAAGTCCTGTAAGTATAGTGCGTGTTTATTCTTGGGTGTTGGCTTTCCTCGCTCTATGGCGGAATCTGGCGCCGACTTACCGTCGGCTAGCGGGTTTTTTCTTAACCAGGTATATCCCACCAGCAGGGCACCACCCAAGCCGGTGCAAGCTCTAAGCTTCCAACCGGTCTCTTGGCATGTGTGCTTGTGTAATGCGTGTTAGTATAAGTGGAATAGTTAGTGTAATAGGATAGAGAAGAGGTAGGAAACGTCGCGTGCGGTCCGTGGTCCGTTTGTTTGGGTACTGCTCCGTCATTCGCCTGGTGTTGATCGGAGAAACCACGGAAAACTACCGATCAAAATAGCCGGCCAGACAACGACTGAATTCGACCTAGCTGACGAGCTAGTGTCGAAAATCCTGCCACTGTCGCGACTCGAACCTAGAACCTCTCGGTCAGAGAGATTGCAGTGACATCATTTGATGCCCTGAGCCAACTCTCCCGGTGACATGAATATAAAGAGTAATGCGTTAAATCCCGTATTAAAGTATAATATGGGTGTACATATTTGCTACCGAATATTTCAGAATCATGTACAGAATGTTTACCAGGATGCCAGGAGAAAAAACACTGCGTATTTGGTACAGCATTTTTTTATCTTTACTCGTTTTAAGCAACATTCTCGTTACGGAGATACTCGTAAAGGAAATTATTTATTGGTACCATGCTCTATTATCATATCAACCGGCTGTTCTCTGTTCTTTATTACTAAATACGTTTACGTCACCGCGCTGTTTGACAATGTGTTGTCTGGAGGTCACGGGTCGTACGAACCACTCCTTTATATATATATATATATATATATATATATATATATATATATATATATATATATATTATTTCATGTCAAAAATAGTGTAACGTGCTACGTAAAGAAGTGTATTATGTGTACGATTTCTTAATTGAGAGTGAAATCCCTACCCTAAGCCTAACAAGCAGAATTCTGAATACAGAAGGGCGTGTACGTTTTTGGCAAAGTTTGGGAAGAAAATATTAGCTCTAATGAAATAAAATATATTTTCAAGGGCATGGGACTTTTATTCCACGTTGAAATGTGGGACAAGGCAAAGCGGACAAGGCATTGTGTCCGCTTCGTGATGTAACATACTTCCTGCTGTAACATGGAGAACATAATTTGAATAATTACATTTCCCACTGAACTCTAGAAGACGCGCACAGATAGTGAAATGACATTTACTTTTACGTTTACAGACGGTAAAGTTACTTTTCATAGGTACTAAAGTAAGATTCAATAATGTATCTACAGTTTTAAGATTTTATTGTATTACTATATGAGTATTTACTACGTTCAAAGCATTACAATGGAATGCTGTACTACTATGTTTGATATAGTTTAAAAAGCACTTACTGATAAACTGCAGTTGAAAACAGTTTTCATCAATGATGAGAAATGCACCACCTTTAAGATGAAACGTGTGGTCCGCAAAATTACTTTTGATCGCATTAAATGCAAAATTTGTTCCTCTATAACGTTTGTTTGGACCGCTTTATTTACAGATAGACTAATTTGGATAATATGACCATAACGCAGAGGTAAAAATGAATTTTTTTCATAATTTGTAAAATTAGTCCAATTGTGATTAGCATTAGTACAGGAACGGATGCCCAAAAGAAAGGTTTTTTGTCTCGTTCAGTACAAAGTTCAATGCTCTACTACTTTTTATATGTCCATGTTTTCGATATTACCGTTTTATTGAAATATAACCGTAAAAACGCAAAAATACCCCTTTTGAGGGTACCATTTGATGCCCTGAGCCATCTCTCCTGGTTTCAGCTTCTCGAAACTCTATGCAACCTTTGTTTTTCTCTCTCTATGCGTGTCGTTTATTTCCTTTCTTCTTCACTTAACTTAAGAATGAGCGATAATAACGTCTGTTCCTTTTTTATAATAATTGAGAGATTAATATTTCTATCTCGACTTCGGATGAAAATAATTTCCCCCAAAAATCCCTAAAAACATTACCCTGTCCATTTATTCCCCTTATTTTCTAGCACAACGAACAAAATTTCCCATTTTGGAAACAAAAATCCCCAATCTCGGAACCCTGGTATATTCACTTGATTCATATTACATTTCAAACACACATCAGTTGTACGTATCACTTTTTCTACAATCTATTTTCTGCTTCTCTAAAACGTTACGTCAGATTTATTGCACTAATTCGGAATAATCATTAACCTCTTTTGTCGTCATATTCATAAATTTCCAAATCGTTCATCAATCAATCACAAATGGAATAAATTGATATAATTGTATATAATGTAGCTATACTAGTATACAAGATATGTTACAGCAGAGTGAATGAGCGATTACAATGTACTGCATTCGCTAGTCATTATTTATAATATAGATATCAGCCAGTCAAAGTGCTTAATTATTCAATAACTTTACGCCATAATTATTCGTAATAGCTGGTTTAATTTGCCTTAAGGCTAAATGCACCGAAAAATACTTGTAGGAAAATTCAATAGATCGCAGCACTATCACAGGGGAATTTTCTTTACTGATAACGTGTGAATCAATGGTCCGATTTTCGATTTGTAAACGGCATTTGACGCCTTTTTAAAATAAAATTTACACTACGATGACCTTTTTCCAAAAATCTAGCAAAAACGCGAATTTGAAATTAGTTCTCAAACTTCGGAGAACAAATTTAAAAATGTGGCCTATAGCGCGATGGCGACATGCTTCCTGAATCCAACGCCGTGACAATCGGACGAATAGGAGCGTCGTAAAGTGATATTTACGAAAACACCTCGACCCCCCCCCACTTCCCCTTCTGCGCCGTTGCGTCACCCACCCGCCCGTTGTGGGCCCTCTGTCAGCGCGGTGGCACGGCCAGGCCCGGCGTCGTGCGACCAGCCCCGACGGACGGACGGACGGACGGACGGATGGACGGACGGAGGAGGTGGTACTTGCGGGACACGCAAGCCATACCCTCGGTTTATGCGTTCGTCACCTTGCATCTCAATCTATTTTTCCACGGATATCAAACTAGAGTTTCTATACTACTATTACAGACCGAGGTTAACGGGCTGTAATAGTAGAACATAACTACATTTTTCACATATTTCCGTCTTCCTTCGAATACCATTTTAAATTTTTTTGATGCATTTTTCAAAATATTGATTCCGATTTTTAACTATTTTTTAAAAAAGGAACTAATAGTGTAAATATCCGCATTATTCCATCTCCTCACATCTTATTTTAGATATATTTTACTTCTAAGGTCTTCTGTTATCACTCCACCTTGGTCTAAGATCTTCCGTTGTCAAATACCGGAAAGAATGAGCGGAGTATATGCACGAGTTCTTTTATCCTACAACTCGATTTTTGATCTCAAAACGACGTTTATCTGCTTTAAAGGGTTCATCTGGTGAATTTCTTTTCCCAAGTAAAGTCGAAGCTAATTTTAAAAATGTTTTCGTACTTTCGGACATATTTTTAAAAAATGCATTATCTTGGCTGCCCGGGTGACGTCGCGTCGAAGGCTGTTTTGCCGACGTTTCGACCATTTTGTCGTAGTCTTCCTCAGGGCTGGTATGCCCATACATCTGATGGTATGGACATGGTAACTAGGGCACGAACGAGCCTGGACTCGCGTAAAGTGGCCGTGGGGGAGGGAGCCTCGGGATTTCCAAGTCCAATATGGCACTGGGACAGTGGTTCGCAAATAGACAACGTGGAGAATGCTCACACCAAGTTCACTGATCGGCTCGCTTACTCGGTGTTTTTCTCCGCTTGGCACTTCCTGCTCCATGACCACGTGTCTACTATGTCTGTTCATCCCCGAGCCACCTCATTCTTATTGTTGGGAGCTGACTCGACTGCGAGGCTGAGAAATGCGCTCAATGTTCTTGATAGCTGCCCCCCCCCCGCCTAATCTGCAACTACTAGCTGTCCCAAATATATTACGCCAAGTATCCATAGGCAAGAATTAAAACATCATACGAGAATAAGGAAAACAAATATGCAATAAGTGGATGTCATCAATGTGTAATTTTGTATCTTCACAATATGGCCTTTTCTTACCGGGAGTACTTAAGGCTCCCCACAGGCTTCAAATCTTTCTTTTTTAATTGATATCACACTTCGAACAGATACTTCAGTAGAGTTTACTACCCGAAAATTGCTGTTATGCAGCGTGTGTTGAAGAACGCCCGAATTCCTTTGTCACATTTCTTAATAACGAGACGTATATTTTCCCTAGCTTAACTGTGTATTATTTGGCCTTTTCTGCGAACAGAAGCCATACCGTTCCACCAAAAGTCACAAACCAAAAAAATGAAAGCGCTATACACCTCTGTTACGAACAAGAAGCAAACAACATGTCACTCAATCATTGAGTTAATGTTCTCTCAGAACAAGAAACATTCTATATTAGATGAAGTGATATTGA